ACTCGCGCACGCGGCAAGGCTGGGATCCCGAACATGGGCATGCAGATCCATTTTTTTTGGCCTCAAACGAACCCTAGAAGGGCTTCCCTCAAAACAACACATACAAACATGTTGGAGGCAGGTCGGATCTTTTTTTCATTGTTAGGAGGTGTGAAGGGATCTGATTCTGGGATACCCATCTCTGACAAGGGCACGCTTCGTTGGTCGGTCGGGGGTGGATAGCTGGCTGGTGGGTTGGTTGGTTGGTTGGTTGGTGGGTGGGTTGGTTGGTCAATTGGGTCGAGGATGGAACATTTTTCCGGGCCGAAGTTTGCGGAAAGTTTGCATTTGGAGAGTGGGGGTGGCTCTCTCACCCAAGCGAAGACGAAAGATTCCTGAAATTCAGCTGACGTGGTCCAAGTTTATCACATTTGATGTTCAATTGGCCGTGAACGGGGGTTCATTTGCTTCAGCACCATGGTAACCCAAGCAGAAATAGCAGCAACTGGAGAGAGCGAGCGACCCAGGTGACCCTGCTTCCGCATCTTCAACCCTCAACGATCCTACCACACAGTATTGGGGATATGCCAGTCAGACAGTTAGACAGTTCGGGGAATCCCTGTGTCCCGGGGCACTCGCTTTCGTGAGCGCAAGCTCGGGCGCTCCCGCCCGGCCCCACGGCCCCCCGCAGCCGTGCAGGACTGAGGCTTTGCGAATCCTCCACGCAAATCAGGGCAAGCTGTTGCGGTCTCGCCGCTCTGCCTTCGTGTTGGCGCCAGATGTGCGGTTTTGGCCCCGGTGACTAGCGCGATGTGTCCCCAGCAGAGTAGAAGTGGAACCGCCTGTTGTTGTGAAGACCAAGCAAAGCTCTCGGGGCTTCAGGGTGCTTGTGGTTATCCGTCCCATCTTCCTGTGCTAGGCATGTGGTTTAGCGCCACGCAGTGACAAGAGGCTATTCCCATTCGCGAGAATCTAAGAACACAGGACCCAGACAAGGTCGTTTGCTCACGTCTACAGAATGTACCTGAAGGGAAAGCGTCTAATAAACTCCATGTTTTTGGTACATTTCTGGGAAAGTCGTTGCTTCAACCGCAAAAAGGGACCGCTGATCAGGGCCGAAAGGAGGCTATAGTAGCCCATCTCCCCAGTCCGATCGCACGGGCAGAGTCCCATGACCTGCAGGGACCCCCACACCCACACACCCACACACCCACACACCCACACACCCACACACCCACACACCAGACAAAACACAGCCAACACACACACAACCACACACGCACACGCACGCACAGCATTCCACACCCTCCAGGCTTTCAGGATTTTCCATGGACCAGTTCTATGGGCTCCTGCCCAACGGTCGGTTGCACCCGAGGATATGGACGCATTGTGGCCGGGATTCACTGAGCCACTGCGCGCATGATTTGCGAATTCAGCCCAATGGCAACAACATTTATGGAGTGCTCCAGCCGTGTGGCGCAAGCAAGAAGCCACTGGTCTGTCGTTTGTGAGGGTACCCTGTTTGGGGTGGATTGAAAGGGAAAGCAAAAGGAACATCATCATCTTTGGGATATCGCATTTTGGCATTCCAAAACGCCCTTAGGTGAAGTCGCGTTCCCCTCCAAATGGTCACAATAGCATGCGCTGAGTTCAGCTTTCTGGGTGATAGAAATGTGTCAGAGCATCGGCCCTTGCGTCAAGGTCCCCTGTTGATCCGCAATCTGACGCTTTGAGTTGGTCTCAGATTTTTGGCCTTGCAGGTATTCGCGGAGAAAGGAAAGCACACCCGTTCCTAACCTTGCTTTCCGGCTGTCTCTTCCTTTCAAACAACTTGGTGCCTTTGTGCTTGCCATGATTTCACGGCGAAGAAGGTACAGATCTCGGTTTCGGCGTATCTGATTGGCGAGGAACTCTCGCGTATATAAATATAAATATATATATATATATACATATATATATATATATATATCATTGTGAAGAGCTGTTGGGCAGATGCACTCGCCTGTTTCGAATTGTGGCGTCAGACGGCAGCTCGGAGCTTTCTGATGTGGGACTTTGCTCCCACAAGCGGCCGCTTACTCACAAAGAGAAGCTGCCAAGTCCTAAACCCGAATCGCTGGCGCTCAGAGTCACAGAAATCCGCAGATCAACATGTAGCAAAATTAGCGCAGGTAGCAGAAACACACAAACACGGGTACATGTATCTTCAAGGCAAAAAGGACCCGTGCTGACTCATTGATTTGCGACCGTTTGCATGTTCATGAACAGTTTTCCATTCAGCAGCATTGCAAAGAACGCCCAAACTGTGATGATTCCATTGATTCTCAGCAAATACTAATTCCCGTAGCTGCACCTGAAGATCAAGCGACAATTTGGGCGCCAGCTCGTGCCTGCAAGGTGACTTGTGTCTCAGGGGACTCGTCCATAGTTCCCCTTTTCCGAGTGACCAAACTTCTTGAAGTAGTTCTCCGCAACTTACAGTCCGACAGGCTACCCAAGGCTACCATCTTCCGGTTGATGA